CGGGTTTTTTTTTTTTTTAGGGGGGGGGGGGGGGGAGAAGAGGGGGAGGCAGATCCCTAAATGGCCACCTCAAGGATTGAACTCACAACCCTGTGTTTAGCAGGCCAATGCTCAAACCACTGAGCTCTCTCTCCTCCTGACAAATACATGAAAGTTGAATTTTCCAAGTTTGAATGTTTCTCTAGTGTTTCTGAATGTTAAAGCAGATTTGAGAGAGACTGTGACCGTACATGTGACAACTAAAGCTGAGTTGTTATATTAAATCAGGGGAGGCAAGTTGAAACATGCATAGCTTGTAACAGCTAGTCCTTTTCTGCACGTTCCAGGGAGCTGACCCAAACTGCACCAACAGTGAACACCGACCTGCTTTAACAGTTGCTGTCCTAAACAGACATGATGAAGTGGTTCCAGTTCTTGTCCAGAAAGGTGCGGATATTGACCAGCAGTCAGGACCGTAAGTAAGCAATTTCTATCCAGAATCCTCTATAGAGCTTGACCCGCAGAGGGACTTGAGACTTGTATTTCACCAAAAGGGACTAATCTCCTAAAGCGACTGTGAATCAAATTTTCAAAACCAAACAAAAACACCCAAACATGTCAATCAACAGACAACTCCCCCTTTTATTGCTTCACTTTAGTTGGCCAGCTTTGAAAATGTGGTCCCATATTTTAGCTCTACAAAGCCTCAATCCTCCTTCTACGCCCTTCCCCTCAATCTTCCTGTCACTGGTACCTTCCTTCTTTTCCCCCACTCCTAATGTTCTCCTACCCCATTTCTCCCTATCAAAAAGAAGATAGTCACCTCACCAGAGACTACATTTGTTGGTCCTTGATTTTTCCCTAGTTTGGGGCAGTTGATATACTAGTAGAGATAAAACATTCCTCTAAATAAAGCCATGACTTTCTTTTTAAATAATAGAAATTATTTGAGTACACCCTGTTTTCCTCCCCTACAGGCATAACAACACTGCTCTTCATGAGGCAACTTTGCTTGGATTAGAGGGAAATAAATGCATCAAAGTCTTGTTAGGGTAAGTTCTGCTGTTGTGGCATCCAGTGCAGCTCTGGGCTATGTGTAATCTACATGCATCACACAGAAGTAATCAGTAACAGGTATGGGCTTCATCCTGCAAGGAGCTGAGTGCCCTCAACTTATGTTGATTAATAGTGTGCTGTACATGTACAACAGGACCCAGGGCCAGACTCTGATATCATCACTCACATTACAACACGAGTAAGCATCAGAATCTGACCGTATGTGATTTACTTTTGAGTTTAGTAATTTGAAACAGATTCCTTTTCTAGAGTAGCTTGAGCAGTCTGTTCTTTATTTACAGCTGTAATGCAAACGTTAAAAAGAAGAATGAAAAAGGCTTATCAGCATATGACTTGGCCCTGAAGACTGGGAATGAGGAAATCATTTCATTGTTTGCTAGTAAGCTTGGACAGGGAATGCTGGACAAACTGACCAAGCCCAAGAATCTCAGTCTGGCCATGGCTTGAGTGTAGCTTTCTTATCCAAGGTGGAGCTGGGTGCTATAGATGTTTGGAAGAAAGTGGGTTTTTTCTTTTTAAAAAACTGCATGGCCAAGGCTTTTTTTTTTTTAAACCGACTCCAAGTGGCTTTGAATCAAGCAAGTAGCTGACACCCTTTGATATCCAAAATCACAAGTAATCTTCTTATCCTTAGAAGAACTACAGGACTGAGCCCAAGGAGAGCAATTGTGCCTTTAAGATTAGGATGCTGTTGGAACTATCTTAAATGGATCATTCCCCACTTCTGCAGGGGTGCCTCTAAGGCAGCATGTACTGTGATTAACTTATATTTCACATTTTAAAATAAAAAATGAATGATGTGAACTATTCTAATAGGAGAGATTGTTAGACTTCACTATAGAATACTTGGTTTGAGCAGTTAAATAAATCATTGTACATTAAGTTTCCTTTAGACATTTATTTGTGTGTCAACATGAGAAAATTTCAAAGGAGGTTTGCAGAGTCATTTAAGAGATTTAGGAACACAAACGTCAAACGTAGTTGCAGTCCTAAATGCCTTAGGTGATTTTGAAAATCTCCCCCTTTGTTTATAAGTATACATCCCTTTGATCCTTGCATGAAAGGGACCTGAACTACTACCACCACCCGGGCACAAAGAGACAACTCTAGAGAACATATATACAAGTCAGACACTGCACAAGGCAAATCGCAGGGGCCTAGGAGACCAGCTTCTCAATATCACGACGTGCACGCTGTGATTCTTCCTTAAACTCCGTCACTTTCTGAGAGATTTGCTTTTTCTGGAAAGATCAAAAATAAAATTCCTTCAGCTTACTACAGGCAGTATTACGCTCAGCTTGGTGGGAAAGGACAGGGTACTACAGCTCTGCACTCCCCCCAGGGCAAAGGCAGGGAACTGCAAGGTGACATGCTGGCTGGCCCAACACATGTCAGAGGGGAGAGTAATGAAGAAGTGTCTCCTTGGCAAGGAAGCCAAATTCTCAGGAGGCTACCTAACAGGTCCTAGGACTGGAGGCTACATTAGCCTTTTGGAATAGAGGACCTAAAACACCCCAATTCTGAGCTGTACGTACAATCATGTTTCTTGTTCGTTCCTTGTCCAGTTTCAGGAATTCCTGCAGTGTCAGGTCAACAGGGTTCTTATGGAGGGAGAGAAAAGCGCAGCCAGAGGAGTGTTTCCTGTGCTCATCTCTAGGAAAGGGAGACCAGGCTCATGTTAAAGGCACACAACTGTATTCCAGCACAAAGCATTTCAATAGTTACTTGCTTTCACCCCATCCTCTACCAAAGCAGTTCTCAAACTGGAGTCCTTAGAGACTGCACAGGAGGTCCACAAAATGTTATGAGCAGAGGTGATGCCTGGGGGGGGAGGAGGAGCATGTGGGGTCCTGCTCATGGAGTCAATGGTGTGAGGCAACCCCTTCTGATGGCAGGGGGAGCCATCAAAATGTTCACGGGCCCAGGGAGGGAGCACCACCTCCACCTCACCTGTCTGGGCTGGGGGCGCACAACCAAAAACTGCAGTGTCACTGCAAAAGAGAGATCTCCCCCTGCCATCAGAAGGAGTTGCCTCACAGCCACTGACTGCATGAGCAGGCAACAGCTAGCCAAGGAGAGAGACACCACTGCTCTGCCCTGCTACATCAGCTCTTCAGGTAGCAGGGCCAAATGGAAGGCAGAAATCTGGCAGGACACATCTGCATTCCCACCCCCACCCCTCTATTGCCTCTGGATAGAGGCTGCAGTAAGAAGCAGGCACACCCATCTCACATAACTGTAAGTATTTATACTTTTTTTCTTAAAGCATTGCTAACAGTACGTGTTTATTTGAAGTACACATACTTTTATCAATCCATTTATCAGTTGGGAGTCTGTGATGAACATTGCATTTGAAAAGGGGGCTGTCAACAAAAAGTTTGAGAACCTCTGCTCTACCGTATGTCCACTACTCACAGAACCACAAGTGAGTCACTCCCCAACCCCACACCCTGCAATACTGAGAGATACCAATTTACTGGTATTTTGCTAAAACACTCCACCCTTGAGATGCAGCTGGCATTTCAATCCTAAAGTAGTTTCCTCACTCTCAGCCATTTCAGTCTCCTCAGGGCTCAGTCCCAAACCCATAGCAACTGGGCTATGGGTTCAGGGAACTATTTTAAGGAGCCTAGTCCTCTGTTGGGATTTCTGTTAGTTAGGAAAAGTAGAACATAACCATGTCTCACTTGGCATGAGTGAAGAACAAAGTCCTGGAGGAGGTTAAAGACAAGAGTGTTCCGGTTGCTGATCAGCGATGTGCTGTCTTGCATAGTATGGTACTCTGGCTTCACTCCCATATTTAGCTGACCTCTGTGTTTGTGACTGTCACACACTCCCAGAGGGGGAAGCTATTGTGATTCCTACAGTGGAACTCCTTCCATGGAGGTCCAATAGACTGGCTCCACTCCTGAGTGAAAATTCAAGTTACTGAGGACACACAGAGGACATTAGTTTTCCTCGTGATACTTAAAAGAACATTGGGTCCAGCTACCAAAGCAGCAGAGGCTCCTTGTTCTCCTTTGAGGAGCATAAATTCAATACATAATCTTGTATTCGTGCAATAATCAGAGGATAACTCCACCCAGGAGGCACATGCTGGGTAGCTTCAGTGATGTGTAATTAGACAGTAGCTGGCAATGTACCACACGGCCAAGAAAATGAATGCCGCCATGGGACTTTTTGGCATCCTGGTTTGCAGGGGTCTAGTCTCCCCTATTACAGGCAGCTTCTAGCTGAAGAAGCCCCTGTAGGCACAGTGCAGGGATACTTACAGGGGGTCATCCTCCGGCTCCCAGCCTTCCAGCTCCTTGAAGCAGAAGAAGCATTGCACCACATCAGGCCCGTTCTCACTGGGGCAGTGGATGAATCCGGCTTCTGCCATCTGGAGTGGGGGGGGGGGGAGACAAAAACGGGATCAGCAAGAGCCCCCCAGCTCCTTCCCGCTGGGGCTGGTGGCGGGCCCAGCAGGGGCCCGGGGAGAGGCGGGGATGCCCCAGTCCCGCAGGCTCGGGGGTGCTGGAGGAGGAGTCCCCCGCAGCCCGGTGGGAGGCCTGGGGCTCAGTGCGCCGGGGAACCGGGGCAGCCTCCGAGCCGCTCGCAGCGCGGGGCGGGCGGGGGTCCCGGCTCCCAGCCTCACCCGCTCCGGGGTGCAGGCGCAGCCCTCGGTGAAGGGCCAGCTGCGGTAGGTGGCCAGGCGGGTCTCGCTCAGGTAGAGCTGCCACTCGGCGGGCAGGAGCGCGGTGGCGGCCGCGGGAGACTTCATCTTCAAATCGCGGCGGCGGCGGCGCGGGGGCTGCCGGGACGGGGCGCGGCCGCACGCGCGCGCGCGAGGCAACCTGGGAACTGTAGTTTGGGAGGGGGCCCGCGCGGGCTGGGCCGTTATAGCGGCTGCCACTCGTGCGTGGATAGCGCGTCACAATGAGACGGGGCGGGAGCCTGGGGGCGTTGACAGGCGGGGAGAGAGATAGAGAGATGTGTCAGGGGCATGGGGGCGTTGACGTGAGGGAGGGGCTGTGGGACATGGGGGTGTCAAGGCTTTGAGGGTGTTTAGATGAGAGAGTGACCGGGGATGTGTGTGTGTCAGGGCTGTGGGGTTGTTGTCCTGAGGGAGGGGCTGTGGGAGGGGCAGGGGGATGTGGAGGGTGTCAGGGCTGTGGGGTTGTTGATCTGAGGGTGGGGCAGGAGGATGTGGGGGCTGTCAGGGCTGTGGGAGTTAGGGTGACCAGATGTCCCGATTTTATAGGGACAGTCCCGATTTTTGGGTGTTTTTCTTATATAGGATCTTATTACCCCCCACCCCTTGTCCCGATTTTTCACACTTGCTGTCTGGTCACCCTAGTGGGAGTGTTGACCTGGTGGGGGGGGGGGGGGTACTGGTGCCATGGGGGGATGTTAGGGGTGTCAGGATTGCGGGGGTGTTGACCTGAGGGAGGGGCTGTGGGGGGGACGTTGGGGCCATGGGGGATGTTAAGGGTTTCAGGGCTGTGGGAGTGTTGACCTGTGGGGGGGGTACTGGTGCCATGGGGGGGATGTGGAAGGTGTCAGGGCTGTGGGGTTGTTGACCTGAGGGAGGGGTAGGGGGATGTGGGGGGTGTCAGGGCTATGGAAGTGTTGACCTGAGGGAGGGGCTGTTGGGGGGACGTTGGGGCCATGGGGGGATGTTAGGGGTTTCTGGGCTGTGGGAGTGTTGACCTGGGGGGGGGGCACTGGTGCCATGGGGGGATGTTAGGGGTGTCAGGGTTGCGGGGGTGTTGACAAGTGTCAGAGCTGTGGGGGATGTTGGGGTGTCAGGGCAGGGGCTGAGGCACTCTGCCCTGAGTGGTGATGTTGCCCTGCTTTGCCCCAGTCCTGCTGTGTGGTAGTTTGGGGAGCAGGACAGAGCTCACCCCATCCTGGGAACGGCATGAGCAGTGATACAGGTGGTGAATTGCAACACCCACCCGTCAGTCTGAGCCTGTAATTAGAAAAGGAGTCTGGAGTCAAAGAAGATGGGTTTGGGTCTGTGCTGGGAGCAGAGATTGGGCCCTTATAGGGAACAGACACAAACAGGTGAAAACTCAGTTGATCCAGGTCTGACTGCTTCTTGCGTTTTACTGAGCACTATTATTATTTGTTTTACCATCGTGCCTAGGAGCCGGTTACAAACCAGGACCTCATTATGTTTGGCACTGTACAAACAGAACAAAAAGACAGTCCCCATCCCAAGAGGTTTATAATCTAAGCATGAAAGTCAGTTTTGTTTACTACTACCTAAAGATTACATTTTTATATTATAATTGAGGAGGGCTTGAAACCCTTGTATAGCTTGTAGTTGCTAGTCTCTCTCTTCTATACAGTCCAGGGAGCTAATCCCAACTGCACCAATAATAAAGACTGACCTCAGACCACAGAACTCGGGGAGGGTGCAGGGGGTGGAATTGTGGCCCGTTTGGGGAAAGGTTGCTGATAGGCTGGCATCCCGACTGAGGCTTGATTAATATTCTGAGGTATATGATGGTTGTGCTAAAGAGGAGGTGTGTCTCTGAGTGGGGAAGTTGGGATATATATTTCTGTTAGTCTTAACTTATTTCCTTCTCTTAGGTATGCTATGCACAGAGCCACCTTATCTAACGCACAACGTGGTGCTTTTGTGTATTAATTCATGTGCTGGCTCCCACGGAGTAACACTGCAAAAGATGGTGGTGTTGCTACTGGTTTTAAAAAGAACAATACAAGCTGTAGCTGTCCAAGTGTAATAACTGCCTGCTAAGATCAGTATTGAATTTGCATAGTAAATTAGCTCTTACCGGTATGTTCTGCTTAACTCCTTATTTAATGTGAAAAGCAAGCTTTTATGGAAAATATGCTGTAACTTTAATAACCGGTATTGTGAGGCACTCAACCCCTTAGGCTAATCCTTAACAACCCAGTCCAAAGGGAATTCTGTTTTGTGAATGTTTGCCACAATTGGCAGATGAATAACAGCCTCTGTGTGGGTGTCTGTAATTCACAAGAAATCAAAGGATATGCTGTCTCTTTTTTCAGGGAGTTAGTCAAACCCTGTTTCTCAGTTCTACTGAAACTCATTATAAATACACCTAGATATTACACAACTATCTTCATGAAAACTCTCAATGTCATTTACATGATGTTTGTTCTGGATCATCTCAGGATTTTATGGCTGCCATCACATGTCATGTAGGCAGTTGCCATCTTTACTCATAGTGTTGGACACACTTAAGTTGGGTGAAATCCTGGCCCCTTTGAAATCAATGGCAAAACTCCCATTGCCTTCATAAGGCCAATAATGTTTGGCTCCAGACTGAAAGTTGAGCAGGAAAATATTATTTCTTTGTCACGGGCTGACGGTTGTCTTTTTTATTCTGTTAGGGCAATGAACCATTTTTTGCTGGTTCTGTTTTCAGACTGCCATGAGGGAGAATACTGTTCAGCTGAATGACTGCTCTCTCAGTGGTATGGTAAGATTTTATAGTGTTCTTTTGTCTTCTGCTATTGATACGGTGGGCTTCAGACACTTTCTATACTAGCTTCATCTTCATAGGTCACGATGGTAGACTGATTCCCTGCAACAGAGGAAAAAGAGTACTCCTGATGGAAGTCTTGTGGTGAGTCTGACTGATCTGCAGAATAAGGAGCTTTTGATGTTCAAAACTCTATGGTTGCAGGTTACCACAACAGACGGGACCATTGTGATCATCTAATCTGTCCTCCTGCATAACACAGGCCTTAATTAATTTTTTGAACTAGAGCATATCTTTTAGAAAAATATTCCATTTTAAAGTTTTCCAGTGATGGAGAATCCACTACAATCCCTGGTGAGTTGTTCCAATGGTTATTACCTCACTGTTAAACTTGTAGGTTATTTTTACTCTTAATTTATCTAGCTTCAGCTTCTAGCCACTGGATCCTGTTATGGTGAGGGGGAAAAAAAATGCCTTCTTTCACCATTATAGTGTCCACGGTTACACACTGCAGAACTCTCCCAAGTGACTAAAAGGTTGGTTAATCATTGATGTCTTCATTTGATATGGGGGGGGTTGCATTTTTCTCACTGGGAAGAATGTCCATGTTACACTGTAGATAATAGCTCACGGTGGATCTGAGTGATATCTCCTGCTGCTGAAACAGAGCAGTGTCTCGGGGATAAATGCCAAGTAGTGTGTACACTTCAGCTAGAGCTGCTCATTGATGCTGTGGTGGTGCTGGGGAGGGGCCTTGAGGCAGACGTGCGAGGGAGCACTGTTGGTCAGCCTTTGGAATTTTTGAGCACTTATTTGACCTTTAAGTTGTATTATTGATGCCAAATGACCATTTTTCTGAGCAAGTACCCAGGTTGTGCCTGCAGTTACAAAGATTACACATACAAATACAGAAGTGCAACTAGGTAAACATTTTTACCTATGGACTTTGTCTTCATGTTTAAAAACTTGTTCTGCAGTGTACGCATAGTTCATAGTGCGAATTAATATTATAGCCAGGTAGTACCATGTCTCTAAGAATAAGGAGCCCTTGATGTTTCTTCTTAAGTAAGTGGAATATCTGGCATCCAGCCCAAATTTTCAGAAATATTCACTCATTTTGGGTGCCTCAATATTTGGGTGCCCAACTTGAGACCCAAGGGCCAGGATTTTTGGAGGGCCTCAGATGGAGCTGTGGGCATGTTTAGCGCGTCTGAAAATCAGACTATAGGTGTCTGAAAACATGTATTGAAAATCAGAGATTACTGCTGAAAATGTCAGCCTTAACTTTCAATAAAATTATTTATTTCTGCAAAGAAATCAAAACTACTTCATCCTCCCCCCCATGCCTGTGTCAGACAGAACATGTCTGTAATCCAGATTCTCAACATTCATTCCTGTGGATGGAAATAGATCTACTTTAAAGCAGGCTGCACTGTTTTTGAACTTAGATGTCAATCACATGGAAGAAACTGCCTTGTTTGTCTCCCCCCAAATCGTGAGTGAATGATGGCACAATCAAGGTTTGGAATTATTCTACTTATCAGTTGGCCATTCTGCTGTGGAGGGAGAGAGGGTCCTCTGGTATACTATTACTTGGATAATGCATTGACATTTGGGGCAGGCTGTGCTTTTGGCATAGAACCCATTGCAGTAATTGTGGATATTTCCTCATCTATGAGCTTCAGCAGCTCTTCACTGCAGAATTAGCCCAGGTGATCAGCAGTTGGGTTAGCCTGGCCGATGTGTGAGAGGCCACACTGCAAAGCCATATCCCAGTTACTGCACCCTCACTGGTGCTACGCTCACCCATGTGTGTTGCTAGGACTGCTGGGGACTGACTGCCCATGGTTCTTTGTGCTGCAGTAAGGTCAGCTGCTCTTTTATTCTTTCCCAATGAATTGTGTGAGAACTTGTCTGTCCTTTTGAGAACATGTGGGGAGGGAGGCATTGGAGAACTGTCTGCACTAAAGTGGTTTACCCTGTGTCCTCACTCCAAAGTGGGCTGGTTGCCAGCCCAAGTGAAAGTGGAACCTGGCTTTTAATCCACATCTCCAGCTGTGTCAGATTGAAAGTATAACTAAATTTGTATGAGAAATTTCTGTGTGGTCAGGAAGGGGGTTAGAGAGCCAACACCAAGTAAGAGCTTGGACTAATTCTGCAATGAAGACATGTACCCTTTGAGGGTGGTCTCTGAGTCTTGTCCTTCAGGTTTCAGTTTTTGTGCTGATTATGCAGGCCTCATATTTTTCCCATATAAACTTGTTTTCCAGCTTCAGAAACAGCAAAGATGGAGAAGTTCTTAAAGGGCAGCTCCAATCTGAAAAGCAACTATGTAAAAGTGCTGCTATCT